AAGCAATTGCTTCTCTAAAGAAATTCTCATAAAAATGTATTAAATATATTTTTTGTATATTTTTTCGTTTCGTAAAATATCTCCTTAGTTATGCTTCTGCTCAGGCTGCAAATCGAACCAATTGTTTAAACCATTTTCAATAACAAACAAAAAAAAAAAAACAATTTATTTGATTTTTTCAAAATAAAAAAAAATATTTTACAAAAAAAATGTGGAACGCTTCACGATTTTGCGTGTCATCCTTGCGCAGGGGCCATGCTAATCTTCTCTGTATCGTTCCAATTTTAGTATATGTTCTGCCGTAGCAAGAACGAATTTAGTTTGTTACTCAAATTATTTAAGCAAACTTCTATAAAAAAATTCTCTGAGAATTATTTCCCTGTTTACCCATGAAACAAAATACAGTAATGAATCTACAAAACCAGGGTTGTTTTGAAAAATTTTGCCCGTTATAAAAGTTTATATTTAGTACAAACATACGGAATTATTATATTTAGAAGTTTTAACCATTATAAAACTTTTAAATTTTCTTTTTAATTTGCGTTTAACAGAAATTTATACTTAATGAAATTGCTTTTGGGTAAGAGCAATTAATTACTTTTTACGCTGTCATGGATTTTAAGTTAGTCGGCCAGCCATTAAGATTACGAATATTTATCTCACTTTCTTTCGAGATTAGCTCAAAATGATTTAAGATCAGAACGTTCTTAAAAGACGATATTTCAGTGATAAACAAATGAATGTATTTTCTATATATGCAATAATCTTTGATTATTGCGTTAATTAAAATCAAAATCGCCGCTGAGTAGTGCAGCTGCTCCGTGCGTGAATGCAGTTTGCATAAAACAAACATGTGACCATTCATTATCAGGAATACTAAAGCATTCCTTATGCGTAATATATTCGGAAGACTGGGGTGTTTTTCTCAATTCGCCACCAAGTACGTAAATATCATCCGCTATTATAACAGCTGAAGAATTTGTTCTCTGAGTAAGCATAGAAGGCATCGGCTCCCATTTATTGTTGCGAATGTCAAGACATGTGCTCTCTTGTGTAATGCAAAATAACGTGGTACCATAACAGACGAGTTCAAATCTTTCATCTGGCCGCATTCCTCGAGGCATCTCATTCAATTTGTACCAGTGTCCCTCCCTTGGATCGAAACGGATGCAAGAAGTAATGCCGTCACATCCACGCCCCAAACTGAAAATACGGTTTTCGATCAAAACTGAGCGACTGCAAAACATATTTTACAGGGATATCTTGACAAGTGTACCATCTATTGGTTGCAGGCGTGTAGTTTTCTACACTTGAATTCTGACAACCACCGACCACATAAATGCCGTCTCTATAAGTACAAATTCCAAAATTGTGCCTAGTATCACTCATAGGTGCGATACCTTTCCATCGGTTACTTGGCAGTGAATAGCACTCGGCAGTTTTCTAAGAACTACCGCCTACCGAATATAAAACGTGTTCTAAAGAAATTAAAGAATGTTCTGATCTCGATTCATTCATTGATGAGATTGATGATATTGTGCTATTAGTTATGTTATAAACGCTGCATTGGGATTGTTGATAAGAATGTGGAGGCTGACAACCTCCTGTGAAAACCACATGAAATTTTCCATTCCGATTTTTGGCCATCTTTGCGGTTTGAGAGCTATTCAGCGAGCATTTTCTTTCACATGGCATTAATTTATAATTCAGAGCTTCAATTAAAAACTCTTTGCATTGTTGATCGCTTCGAAGCAGAGATTCAATTCGCATTCTGTCAAAAGCCGAGATCTGACATAAGGTAAACGGATTTGACTCATTAATTTCGGGATATAAACCTTTCGCTCGTCTACGTTGTTCTTGACCCAATTAATTGGAACCTTATATGCATTGTCTTCAAATTTTACCGAGAGATGCTCATCCATTATCAACTCCAGGATCTACAAAAAATTTGTTTTGAAAAATTATTCATTCGTTAAAGTTATACGTAGACATCAGTTATGCTCACTTACCATTGTATAAGAGATAAATTCTTACCATTGCTGCCATTGATTAGAAAATCATAAAAAATTTCTTCCGATTTAAACGTTGCAGGTCTAAAATTTACCCTAAAGTCTTAAAATATAACTTACAATTATCTAAAGCTTTGTGATTATTCTCATAATCCTTGCGTTATTGAACCCTAAGGAGTTTACTTTGAATAGAATCGATAATTAAATGAAAAAAATTGAAAGATTCCAAATGTTCATCTAAAATATATTAAATTTTTTCTTAATATTTTTTGGTTATTAAAAGATAAATTTGGGGAATTTTATTATAACCTAAAAAAGTATTTTGCAAAATATTCGTATTTCAATTAAAAAAAATCAATATTATCAGAAATAACCACAATAAGTTTTCTAAAGAAAAATATTTGACAAAAAAATGT